GACATGTCGTGGGGTTGTTAACCAATGTCATAAAACAATATGTGTACCACTGTTTCATGAGAAACTATTTGTTCTGTAAACCTTCACCTGAAGTACAATAAAATTAATTAAAAAAAAAAAAAAGTTAACAAGACTAAAAGCTGGTTCTTTGAAAAGATCAACAAAATTGATAAACCACTGGCCAAACTGACAAAAGAAAAACAGGAGCGGAAGCAGATAACCCGTATAAGAAACGAGTTGGGGGACATCACAACAGACCCAACTGAAATTAAAGGAATCATAACAGAATACTATGAAAAATTGTACTCTAACAAATTTGAAAACCTAGAGGAAATGGAAAAATTTCTCAAAACAGGCTTTCATGCTGTAGGAAGGTGCTGTGGGGTTGGATGGGAGACAGATTCTAGCCACACCCAGAAGCAGAATGTTTGATATGATGAAAAAATGTGAACTTGTTCACTAGATGAATAGATAAGCACAGGTAAGCCAGTGCTTACCTTACTGGATAACCTGCCCCTGGGTGGCGCAGTGGTTAAGTGCTGGGTTGCTAACCGAGAGGTAGGCAATTCAAACCCACCAGCTGCTCTGCGGGAGAAAGATGTGGCAGTCTGCTTTAATAAAGATAAAAAAAACCAAACCTGTTGCCTTTGAGTTGATTCTGACTCACAGCGACCCTATAGTTCAGAGTAGAACTGCCCCACAGGGTTTCCAGGGAGTGGCTGGTGGATTCGAACTGCTGACCTTTTGGTTAGCAGCTGCAGCTCTTAACCACTTGGAAACCCTATGGGGCAGTTCTACTCTGTCCTATAGGGTTGCTATGAGTCGGCATCGACTCGATGGCAAACCCCGGTAAATCCCATTTATGTGTGTCTACTGATGTGTACAGGCGTTTGTGGAGTGGGTGGATGTGTGCAGGTCTTATGTGTAAACATACAAATGGGACCAAACTTACAGTAATCTGATTTTTTTCACACAATCTATCATAAAAGCACTTTCATATAAATAAAGGTCTGCATCAATATTTAGTGGCTGCACAGTATCCTACTGTACAAATGTGCCATAGAATGTACACTCTGTAATTATTGATCATGTAGGTTATTTGCAAATTCCTTATTCTGAATTAGATTTATGGGCTACCTAGTAGGTATCAGAAGCCCTGGTGGCGCAGTGATTAAGAGCTGGGCTGCTAACCAAACAGTCGGCAGTTCAAATCCACCAGCCGCTCCTTGGAAATGCTATGGGGCAGTTCTACTCTGTCCTATAGGGTCACTATGACTCGAAACCGACTTGACAGCCAATGGGTTTTTTTAGTAGGTATCACAGAAATTAAAAAAGAAGTTAAATAAGCATCAGAAAAGCAGCAGCCCACTAGACTGAACCAACGCTATTTTCCAACCCTTCTACCTCGAGTGAGTGAGGTGGTTTATTTAGCCCACTTGAGTATACAAAAAACAAAAAAACAAACCCGTTGCTGTGGAGTCGATTCCGGCCACAGTGACCCTACAGGACAGAGGAGAACGGCCCCACAGGGTTTCCAAGGAGCCGCTGGTGGATTCAAACTGCAGACCTTTTGGTTGGCAGCCGAGCTCTTAACCACCGCACCACCAGGGCTCCCACTTAAGTATAGATATGATTTAAATCAGATCATATAGTTTAATACCCGCTCAACGTTAGAGACGGTAACCTCATCAGTTAAGTACAAATTTTATTTCACAAGAAGACAACATGATTCTTCCAAAATAAAAATCAGAAATACACCGAGAGCTTCCACTCCACCTCTGTTCGCATTAGGAGGAGGATCTGTGAGGTATGTGCAGCGACACAGTCTTTAGTAAACCTCACACATGGTCCGGCCAGGTAGGGAGATGGCTGTAGGTCACGGCTGTGCTGATCACCGGCTTGTCCACAAACTCCACGGTGCACAGCGCAGGGTCCACGCTGCTGCAGGGTGCACGCTCCAGTTCCAGCACTGTGACGGTATTTGGGGCCGAGGTCACGAGGATGTGCTGCGGCACAAACAGGGTCATCTGGGGGCCCCGTGCGGGCCAATAGCGGCCAAGGTTAAAACCATTAATCCACACCTGGCCCTGGAAGGAGAGAAGAGACACCATCAGCCGGCATGACCAGCTGCTCTGCAAACAAAAGAAACCAAACCCGTTGCCGTCGAGTCGATTCCGACTCCTAGCGACCCTGCAGGACAGAGTAGAACTGCCCCACAGGGTTTCCAAGGGGCAGCTAGTAGATTCGAACTGCTGACGTTCTGGTTAGCAGCCGTAGGTCTTAACCATAAGCACATTAATCCACACCCGGCCCTGGAGAGAGAGAAGAGAAACCATCAGCTGGCAAGACCACCTGCTCTGAGGAGCATGGGGATGCAGACAGCTCAGCGGCCGACACGGAGGCCTGGCAGTGGCGGGGGCAGGACATGCCCCATAGGGATGTTTTCCATCACATGCAAGGGTTGGGAGCTAGGCCCATGGTGGTGCTGGTCCCAGCAGCAGCTGAGATATCTGGCCATGTCGGGGCAGGGGGTGGTGGGAGGAGCGACACAGTTGCCCCAAATACCCACACTTGCTTCAGAAAAATACTCCTTTGGTCCCTCTGACTGGCTTCAGCAGCCACAGATGTGAGTTCTGGGAGCAGCATGCTGTTCTGCCAAGTTTCTGAATTTCCTGGTGCCCTGGAGACTGCCTGATTCTCCATTGACCTCTGCCTGTTTAAATTCTTCTCACAGCTGATACCAGGGGGCATGAACTCCACATCTGCTTCAAGGACCCCGGTGATCCTACCAGCTGCAAAGACTATTTCTGTGAGCAGGAGAAGTTGCTGCCCACTGCAAAACTGAATGTGAAGGGGACGCTCCTGAAGAACCGGGGCCATGCTTGGGCGCATCCGCACCGCCTCCCTGCGTGTGCTCAGATTTGCTCATCGGATAGGACCCACCAGTGGGCGGAATAGATGGAACATTCTGTTACAAAGAAAGGGAGAGTGAGAGAGGAGGAGGGGAGGCCGCGCACACACCCGAGAGAGAAAGGGAGAGACAGAAAGATAAAATGTGAGGAAGGAAGGAAGGAGGGAGGAAGAAGGAAAGAAATTGCACCCACAGTGGTCCAAACAGACTGGGGACACCACGGAGGAGGCCTAGCTAGGGCCATCACCTGCTAAGCCCTCGTTCCAGATTGAATTGTGTTCTCCAAAAATGTGTGTCAACTTGGCTAGGCCATGATTCCTAGTGTTGTGTGAGTGTCCACCATTTTGTCATTTGATGTGATTTTCCTGTGTGTTGTAAATCCTACCTCCATGATGTTAATGATGTGGGATTAGCGGCAGTTATGTTAATGAGGCAGGACTCAATCTACAACATCAGGTTGTGTCTTAAGTCAATCTGATTTGAGATATAAAAGACAGAAGCGAGCAGAGAGACATGGGGATCTCACACCACCAAGGAATAAGAGCCAGCAGAATAGCACGTCCTTTGGACCCAGGGTCCCTGTGCTGAGGAGCTCCTAGACCAGGGGAAGATTGATGACAAGGACCTTCCCCAGAACCGACAGAGAGAGAAAGCCTTCCCCTGGAAGTGACACCCTGAATTTTGGCTTCTAGCCTCCTAGACTGTGAGAGAATGAACTCTTTGTTGAAGCCATCCACCTGCGGTACTTCTGTTACAGCAGCACCAAACAACCAAGACAGCCCTGATCCCCATGGTTATGCAGCTGCAGTTAGCACTTTACAGCTACCTGGTAGCTCACCTTTGGGAAATTTTCAGCCTCCAGGTGTCCCCTTTATTCCAAGCTCCCTCTGAATTTCCAACCTGAGTTCAAATCTTAGTCACTTACTAGTTGTCTGGCCCTGGGCAGTCTCCCTAACCTCTCCCAGACTCCGGTGGTTCACACTGGTGACTGGGGACAGTGACAGGAGGAGGAAGCAGTACTCAGCACAGCACCTGGCCCTGGGTGGGTGCTCTGTGACTGGGAGAGCTCCTTACACCATCCCCTTGAAGAGGTCTTGGCGTTTGCATGCCTACACAAGAGGCCAGTGATTAAAAACCACCTGTGTGTTAGATTAAGTCATTTAGAAAAAGGATGACAGTTTCGCACTTCTCAGAATCATTTTACTCTTGTTTTTACCACGGGATATGCTATCGCGATTCATCCTAAAAGGATACAGCTTCACCAGGCTTTTATCAGTTTACCATCTGCGGTGCCTTGTTTTTGCAGTATTAGAGATCAGCGCCACTTTATTTTTGTGGTCGAGGTGGGAGATGGCTTCAAAGGCAGATCGGTGGAGAGCCTTGCGAGCAGCAGCCGAGACAGGGTGTGCAAAGTACGGGCTTCACATTACGTTCCCAGCAAAAACCGAGCCTGCTCCTAACCCAAGAGTGGGGTCCCTTCTCACACCTAAAATTCTATTTCACAAGTTATCCAAGACACGGTCCCTTGTGCTGAATTGTGCATATCAACCTGGAAGTTGGGACCTGTTTCCCTGGATCCCTTTCTCCAGAGGGTTCTGGGTTAGTTGGTCAAAAAGGGACCTTGCTTGAGACTGAGAAGGTGGAACAGGAACAGAGGCTGTTGCTCTTGGTCATTGAGGTTGGACACAGGGACTGATAGAACCGGAGGTGGCTGGCTGGTTCCAGCTCATCCTCGGTCTCCTCCACTCTGCATCCAGCTGTCTTCCTAACTGCTGGCCCAGCTGACCAGCAATCCAGTAGCTACACAGAAACCACGGTCCCCAAAGGCCTCTCTGTGAGCTCCCCAGCGTGCTACCTCAGCAGCTGAACTTGATTCTCAGATTCTTCTGCAAAGGCCCACTTGTCCACCCAGGTTGGTGCTCAGGAGGCTGGTCAGTGATTCCTCCTCTGACTCTGCCTTCCTCTTCCAGCATTCCCATCCCCAGCTCCTCCCACATTTCTGTAAGGTCTGATTCCTAACAGAGGATACTCCTCGGGACTCCGCTTCCCAGACTGAACTGTGACTGACGGAGAACATCTCCATTGTGCAGAGTCTTGACTGGGTCTTTCTTCTTGTCCACCCACTCTTCCTTCTTATCCAAACTTCATTGTCTTTATTGCACTTTCTATCTCAGTTAGCTGTTGAGTTGACAGTTACACGCCCACCTTTCCCATGAACTGTGAGCTCCTAAAAGGCAGGAACAGTGTTGATTCTCCTGCTTTACCACCAGCTGGCACAGGGCCTAGCACGCACTAGGTTCAACAATGACTGTTAATGAATGATAATGGGCTAAAGAGTTACTGCCTCCTTCAAGTACATGTATGTATTAACCTAGGGTTCTTGGGGCTATGAAACTTTAATTCAAAAATGGAAAGAAATTTCAAATTAAAAATATATACAGATGGTTGGCTTCTTTGAGAAATCAGAAAAACAGCAACTCTGGGCTTATGTTCACACATAACACAAATAGGCTAAAACTGTGTACAAACTGTTCCTTTACTCAGGGCACATATTATCCAGGTCCCCACTGTCCCCCAACACTCTCTACAACCTTACATCTCACCACTTCCCTCTTTCATGTTATCTGCCTGGCCCCTGTAGAATACATAAACAAACGGTGGTATTTTCAGAATGGAACACTATATAGAGCAGTAAAAAGGGATGAATTACTGCTCACACACCAACAAGGAGTAAGCCCAGACACAAAATTTTGAGCAAGAGGAGCCATACACACATTTGCAGAGTTCAAAAACAGGCAAAACTAAACTATAATGTTAGAAGTCAAGATGGCGAAGGAGAAGACCCAAAACCAAACCTGTTGCTGTTGAGTTGATTCCGACTCATAGCGACCCCGTAGGACAGAGTAGGGTTTCCAAGGAGCAGCTGGTGGATTTGAACTGCTGACCGTTAGGTTAGCAGCCATAGCTCTTAACCACTGCACCACCAGGGCTCCGGATGGAGGAGACAACTACTTAAATTTGAGAAAGTGTGTTTTCAAAAACTTTTAATGAAAAGCATATTTAATGGTGAAATAATAAAGCCTCCCCTTCCCTGAAATTGGGAATGAAAAAATAATGTCCGAGTATGAACATTTCTATGTAACATCATGCTGGAGTTCCTAGCCAGTGCAATACGGTAAAAAAAGAAATAAAAGGCACAGGAATGGAAAGAAATTAATGAAAGTATCACTAATTGCCAACAACATGATCGTGTCCACAGAAGATGCAAAAGGATCTATAAACAAATGATTAGGATTAATAGGGGATATGTGCAAGGCCCCTGATACAAGCTCATATAAAACAAACAAATGTATTTCTATATATTAGAAAAAAATTTCAGAGAATGAAATTTAAAATACTATTAAAATATTGTGCAAAAAATCATCAAATGCCTAGGAATAAATGTAATGAAAGATGTGCAAAACCTTTACCTAGAAAACGATAAAATATTACTGATAGATGTTAAAGACTTAAATAAGTTGGAAGGCTCAATATTGTAAAGATACTCAATTCTTCCAAATTCCACACAATTCCAACCAAAATCCCAGTAGTTTTTTTTTCTGATGGAAACTGGTAAGCTGAGTCTAAAATGTGTGTGGAAATGGAAGGGGCAGCCAAGAACAGCCAAAACAATCTCAATGAATAACAAAATGGGAAGATCTCACTTACAGGACTATCAAGCTTATTATAGTAATTAACGCTGCTGCAAAAAGAGTGACATTGCTCCAAAATAGACCAATGGAACAGAGAATGTCAAAACAGATTCACATGCACATATGGTCATTGATTTGTGAAAAAGGGGGCACTGCAATTCAGTACAGGACAGAACAGTCTTTTTGGCAAATGGTGCTGGGTCAATTGGATAGCTGTATGGGAAAAAAGTGAATCTTGACCCCCACCTCACACCATACACAAAAATAAATTAATGTTTTCAACTCATTTGTCATCAGGGAAATGCCAATTAAAACCACAACAAGGTATCAATCCCAGTCACCAAAATGATTAAAATAAAAAGATGGATGATATCATATCAACTGTTGACAAGGATGTAAGACAATGGAAGTTCTCATTAACTGCTGGAGGGTGTCGACCAGTACAAACACTTTGAAAAACCCTTTGGGTGGCAAATGCCTGTGACCCAGCAATTCAATTCTTAGAATTCCACTCCTATAAGAAAGATGTACACATGTGTCCCTAATGACATGCACAAGAGTATTCATATGGTAGCACTATTTTTAATAGGCAAAAGCTGGAAACAACCCATATGCCCCTTTCCAGTAAAATGGAAAAAATAAATGTTGGCATATTCAAACAACTGAATATCATACAGCAATTAAAATCAACAAAGCACTGTTCTACGTAATGAGCTAAACATAAAGGTCTACATAATGTACGATCACATTTATATATATCATTCAGGAGGCGGGGCCAAGATGGCGGAGTAGTCAGACGGCTTTCCAGGTCCCTCTTACAACAAAGACCTGAAAAAACAAGTGAATTGATTGTATATGAATATCTAGGAGCCCTGAACATCAAAGGCAAAGTTGAGGAATCAGACTGAGTGGCGGTGGGGAGAGAGAGAGAGTTCAGAAGCAGCGAGGAGTTGCCAGACCTGACCCAGCAGGAGCCACAGCCCTTCAGTCCAGATCAGCTCAGGGTGTGCAGTGAGGCGGGCATACAGCTCTGTAAGCTCGGGAGGCACTTTCCACACAGAGAGAGATCCGGCAGCAGAGTCTACTTGGACACCCAGAACCAGTGAAAAGCAGCACTCAAGTGGCTAAAGATAAGCACTCGCATGTGGCCTACCGCGGGGATTAAAAAAAAACCATTTGGGCAAAACCTCTCTAGCATTTACCTTCTCCCTCCCAGCTCTGCACCGGGTCCTGGCCGGCTTCAGCGATTGAGGAGTACCCCTGGGCCGGAAGTAGATCCCATAAGGCGCCCTGACCCATTCTCCTGGCCTTGGAGAGGAAACAAATTAACAAACGGAAAAAATAAGCTATCGGCTCCCCTAAGCCAGGACCTCAGGGTTGGCACAGCTCCTTTGCCGAGGCACCAATCACCTATGCCTCTCTAAGACTGCAGGTGAGAGCCTGCACCACACACTTGGTGACTGACTGCCTGGACACCTGAGCTGAATCCATACAGGAAAATTTAACGGACTCCTGGGCTCACATGCTTAGTAACAGATCTAACTACCTGGTGACAGGATGATAGAGCTTCAAAGGCGCCAATAATCAAACTAGTGCACACGAGCAGCCTATTTGGGCATATATATTTAGTTCAAACTTAGGCAAAAATAATCTATGGCGAGTGAAGTCAGGATAGATGACACCATTGGAGAGGAGATGGGACGTGACTTCGAGGGGGCCCGAGAGATGTTTCTGGGGGCAGATCATATGTTATTCCCTGATCTGAGTGGTGGTTATCCAAGAATGTTAATTTTTTGGAAATTAATCAAACCGCGTGATGACAAATCGTGCACTTTTCCGTATACATTTTATGCTTCAGTAAAAGTTTGTCTTCAAAATGATGATTAAAATTAAATGAAACAGAAAACATACAATAGAGAAATAATAAAACCAGAAGTTGGTTTTTATAAAAAACACATGAGCAAACCCCAAACAAGGCCAATCAGAATTGATCAAGGGGGAAATGAGAGAGAGAGAGAGAGAGAGAAGGTAATAGATAACCAGTACACAGCACAAGATAACTACCATATGTTTATGCAAATAATGTGCACTTTATACATTTCTTGCCTACCACACAACCCCCTCTCCGACCCGTTTTTGTAAGTGTGCTGTGCCGCATGTTCTATGGAGTGGGAGCGTTATTTACGTGGGCTTTTTTTTTTTTTAAACACTTACTTACAGTAATTTTTGTTAGCTGCTGGATCATGGCAATCCCATACACAATAGAAATGAAAAGCTGCCCAGTCCGGTGCCATCCCCAAGACTGGCTGCTGACGGGACCATTGTGATGCACAGGATTTTCACTGGCAGACTTTCAGAGGTAGACTGTCAGGCCTTTCTTCCTAGTTCTTCTTGGTTCAGAAGCTCTGCTGAGACCTGCTCAGCAGCTAAACCTGTAAATTGTTGCTCCTGGCTGCTAATCGAAGTCGGTACTGTTTTTCTTCTAATCACCTTCCTTAATTCTACACACTGTCTGATCTGTTCTAGTGACTCTTTTCTCCCAAAGATTATCGCTTGTGGCCCATGGTGAGCCTTCAGCTCCCATGGGAACGAGGCCTCCTCATCCAAACGATGCTGTGATATATAGCTAGCATGCTGTGCACGTGCCCTGTGACTCCTCCCAAACCTTATCTCAAACTCAGCGTTACATCTTCTCTGGCCTCAGTTAATTCTCCAGAGCTTCCTGCTATAAACTTCTCAGAAACAAAATTTCCCTCCATCCTCTGCTATTAATGGAAACCCTGGTGGTGTAGTGGTTAAGTGCTATGGCTGCTAACAAAAAGGTCGGCAGTTCAAATCCACCAGGCGCTCCTTGGAAACTCTATGGGGCAGTTCTACTCTGTCCTATAGGGTCGCTATGAGTCGGAATCGACTTGTCGGCAACCGTTTTTTTTTTGTTTGTTTCTGCTATTAACACGTTGTTGTTATAGTTGCCGTTGAGTCAACTCTGACTCATGTGACCCCATGTGTTACAGAGCAGAACTGTGCCACGCGGTTTGCTTCACTGTTATTTTAATGGAAGCAGACTGCCAGGCTTTTCCTTCTGCGGCACCACTGGGTGGGTTAGAACTGCCAACCTTTAGGTTAGCAGTTGAATGCAAACTGTTTGCATCACCTAGGGACGTTGGCTCTTAACAAAACGGGCATTGAGTGAGCTACACACTGGCTTAGTTGCCTTCCCAAGACAGAGGATGTCATAAGCACTGAGCGTGGGGCAGAACTTTCTGCAATGATGAAAGTGTCCCGTGCTGTCCAACAGAGTAGCCACGAGCCACATGTGGCTATGGAGCAACCGCAATGTGGCCAGTGTGAAGGAGGAGCTGAATTTTTACTTTTAATTCATTTTCATTAATTTAAATTTACGAATTTGCGTGTCATTGTGGCGCAGGGGCCGTGCTTATCTTCTCTGTATTGTTCCCGTCTTTAGTACGCGTGCTGCCGAAGCGAGCACAAATTAATTGCCATTTAAACTCAGACAGCCACCTGTGGCTAGTGGCTCCCATACTGGGCAGTGCTGCCGCGGGTGAGGCGGAGGTTGTAATGTCATCACCAGGCCACAATCTCTCCGCTTCCCTTCATCCTCACAGCCCATCTTCTAGATCAGGTCAGAATCACTGCTGTCTGAGACCACCGCAGCCTCCTCACGGGTTTCCCCACTTCCTCCCCTAACCCTGCAACCGGCTCCACACAGCAGCCACAATGAAAATCTGATGATGTCACGCTCCTGCTTTTAACCTCCCTGCCAGGACTCACAGCGCACCTTCCTCCTCTCGCCCGTGTCCGCCATTCTCACCCTGTGTCCGTCGTTCTCACCCTTGCTCACTGGACTCCCTGTGGACTTCTTGTCCATTCCTTAACACACCAGACTTGTTCTCACGTATGCACTAGCTTCCCTGTATGCCAGAAACACGGTTTCCCCACGTCTGAAGACTTCTGATAACTAGGGTCTCAACTCCATCATCACCTCCTCAGGGAACACAGTCATGATCACCCTCCTCAATATCAGATCTTCCACCCCAAGTCACTCATTTCTTACTATCCGACATTCTTATCATTTTTTAGATGATTGGTTGATTCAGTATTTCTAGCTATAACTCAGGCTCTGTGAAGGGAAGGGCTTTGCCCATCTTATTCGAGCCTAGATTCTCAGCACCCAGCAAAGCAGAGTGATATTCAATGTACATTCAGCAGCCCTCAGTAGCTAATACCAAGAAAACTAACCAAACCAGTCGTCATCAAGTCAGTTCTGACTCATGGTGACCCCACGTGTGTCAGAGTAGAACTGTGATCCATATGGTTTTCAGTGGCTGTCAGCTTTTGAAAGTAGATCAATAGGCTTTCTTCCGAGGCACCTCTGGGTGGATCTGAACTGTCAACCTTTCGGTTAGTAGCTGAGCACTTAACTGTTTGCATCACCCAGGGACTCCATCTGTAGATAATAAAAAACCAAAACCAAACCTGTTGCTGTCAAGTCAATTCTAACTCATAGCGACCCTACAGGACAGAGTAGAACAGCCCCACAGGGTTTCCAAGGCTGTAATCTTTACAGAAGCAGACTGCCACATCTTTCTCCCACAGAGTGGCTGGTGGTTTCAAACCACTGACCTTTTGGTTAGCAGCCAAGCATTTAACCACTGTGCCACCAGGGCTCCTTTCGGTAGATAATACTTGTTGATAATTCTGCCCGAGAAAGGATTCACCGAAGAGGTGACACGGAGACCTGCTACAAGAATTTTTCACACTCATGTTTCTACAAAGTGGTTCAAGTCTTTGGACAAAGTGTCTCAGACTGGCCACAAGCGTCTTCTTACGGTGGAAGCCAAAGACACTGGCTTCTGAAGAGTCACACCAACCCTACTCTGCTCTTGGTTTAAGAGCTTTAGAGAATACTGCTCACTGGAAGAAGAAATATTTGCATTCCCAGTGCTTCTTAGTTCCATCAAGTATATGAGCCCAAATGGGCAACACTTGGCCCAAAGCAAAGACAAGAAGGCAGGAAGGGACAGGAAAACCGTACTAACAGACACGGAGAACCCAGGGTGGAAAGGGAAAGGGGGAGAGTGCTGACACATTGCAGGGATTGCAACTAATGTCCCAAACAATTTGTGTATAAAATTTTTGAATGAGAAACTGATTTGTTCTGTAAACTTTCACCTAAAACACAATTAAAACAAACAAACAAACTTGCATTCCCCACTCGACCAGCATCAATGAGAAACAGTCACTCTGAAAGAAGGAAACCTTTAAAAATTCTGTTTTTAAAAAATATATTCGCTCTGATTTTTGTTCCTCATTTAAAATACGATGGCGAAATTGCTGGGGGCAGGGAGTATGCCCATTTTGGTAAAGGTGATCTAAACGCAGACACACGCTCAATGAATGGAATGAGCCCCGCTGGGGCCAGGCATTGGCAGAGCGAACACCAGTGGCTTCTGGGGCCTCGGAGCGTCGACCCAGTTAAGACAGCTCCATCACGACAAAGTCTGACTTTCTCTGACTATATCTTGACCCTGGCAGTTTCCTCCCTCTTCGTTATTATCACCAAGGTGAAAATAATTGTTTTGATAAATGTTGCGGTTAGGTGCTGTCCGCACTGTCTCCAATTCACGACCACCTTATGTATAACAGAATAAAACACTGCCTGGTCCTGTGCCACCTTCATCATCATTGGTATGTTTCAGTCCATCCTTTTGGCTATTGGGTGACAGACAGGTGGGGGTTCAATAAGTGTGAGTCTCCCGGAAATGCCTGACCTACTTCTTTTGTTGATCAGACAGATTTGTGTGTCTGTCTATTTTAAATTCTCAAGATAGATAAAATTCTCTCACGAGACTTTAAGACAAAAGTTCAGATACTGTTTTAAGCTCTAGTTTTAAATTTCTCAAACGTGGCCTGCAGCTTCTTTAAAAATAATAGCAATACAGTGGAAATGAATGTCGACTTTATTATTCTCTGGAAAAAAGATGGAGGGCTTAAAACAGGAAAGACAAAGGTCCAGTTCCCAAGATGAAGAGGCTCTCACCCCACGTACCTCACGGACAACTGGGAGGCTAACTTGGGAGAAAGAAAAGTAACAACAACAACAAAGGCAAAAGAGTGAGGGGCTTGCTGAGGGAGGAGATTTACACAGATCTCACCAGAGTTCTCAGGAAAAAAGGAATCACCCCCTTTCTTCAAATTCCCAGATGGACCGGGGTTGACGCAAATCACACTCCTTTGCTTCCTCCTTAAATAAAGTCTAAATTAAATAAGGTTAATTAACTTTATGGTCTCTCTGTGTTTTAGGACAAACTGAAATAGAACTGGAGCCATCAAAGCATAAAATATTAGTTAAAGAATGAATCACTTCCTCCCTGCCTCAAACCGTAAATATAAATTTCTGTCCTCCTCAACTTCCGTAAGCTCCATTATGAAGGCAGGCAAGAGAGAACTTTTTAGGCAACATGTCACCTAACAATGGTCGTCGTGACACCTGACATAGCTGAATAAAACGAAGTGGAAAACGAAAACTGCCTCCAGGCAGTCCAGTAATATTTGCTCTACAGTCTATGCGCTAAGAATTGCAGGAGACCCTTAGAGCCTTCACTCAAAGCCTCCTCTGGTTCTACAAAGTTCTCAGGGTAATGTCCAAACTCCTTGACACATGAAGCCTTTCACGTTTGGCCCCCAAACTGATCCTCTAACTTCATTTTCTACCACTCCCCTCTCTGTCCTTGAACTCAGTCCTTCTGCCCAAAATGTCCCCTCTAAGAAGACCCAAAGGAGCTCTGGTGGCACAGAGGTTAAGCGCTTGGCTGCTAACCAAAAGGTTGGTGGTTCGAACCCATCCAGCAGCTTCTCGGGAGAAAGACCTGGCACTCTGCTCCCATAAAGATTACAATCTAGAAAATCCTATGGGGCAGTTCTACTCCGTCACGTGGGGTCGCTGGGTCAGAACCAACTTGATGGCACACAATAACAATGAGAAGACCCAGTCTCTCTCAGCAATCCTAAAAACTTATCATCTCTTCCTGGCCCCGTGGGTTCATGCCCCTATTACAGATCTCCTCTCATGGTCCTCCTGGGCTCTGTCTACATGTCCACATCTCCCAATGGACTGAAACCACATGGCTGGCATTGAGTCATCAGGGACAAGGCTGAAAAAGCTCCATAAACCCTATTAAGAAGGCAAGGAGATGTCAAAATCAAGACGTAAAATTGGTTGGAGAATAAAAGGTATTTTGTCAGCCCTTTGTTGCAAATTCTTTTATTGTGTGTTTTTGTCTATTTGTTTTTATAGCTGGAAGGCAGGAACGCTTGCCTTTAAAAAATAAAATTGCTTTTAGTCAATACTCCGTTGTGAATCTCAGGTTTTCAAAACATAATTCTGGTTGCGGAAGAATGGGGCATTTACCTGACCCCTCTCACCACCGTGCTCTGTCAAGCACGAGATCTACAGCAAGAGGCTAAAAAATGCTGGAAAGCTGCATAGGATATTAATACGTGACTTGTCTACACCCGTCTGAGAGAGAGGTAAATGGCACAAACGTCACCGCACTGACAGACAACAACATTTCAGGTATGACACATACGTCCTAGAGCTGAAGCACTGGAGGGGAGCACCTTCTCAGGGAGCGTTTGTGGTCAGACACAAGCTCCGTGCTGAGAAAATGCTGCCCTGTGTGTCTTGGACAGAGCGAAGCCTGCCTGACCCCAGGCCCTGAAATTCCAGTTGACATTTGGGCCTTTAACCAGAAAGCCACATCTGACTCAAGTAAAGCCAAAATAACCAGAAGTGATATTTTATCCCATAGATCACCCTTATCAGTGATTTTACTAAGTCATGGCAGTTTCTTTACAGCAAATGAATCGCAAAAGTCAGGAGGCCTGCATCCGGGGCCTTGACAGGGCTCTCCCCAGACACAAAGGGTGGAGACAGGCTAGTGGCAAGAGACAGGGCTGGAGGCAAGACTCTCAGAAAAGGCTGGTGCCTCGTTGGGTCTGCCCCCTCATCTGACAGATAGCTGATTCCCCCAGAAGTCAGAACTCAACGTCCTATGGGGAGTCGGATCTGTCCCTTCCGAGGCTACTACTGATCACTCGGACCCTCAGGAGCTGGCCCAGGACCGTCCTCAGCAAAGGGACGCTGCCCACCAGTAAACAACAAAAAACACACACGCTCTGCTTCACGTATGACATATGTACATCCTCGGACCTTCAGACCTACTCAACTTGGGACCCACAAATCCCTTGGATGGGCCCCCCCACCTCCGCCTTGGTAACAGCTTCACTGAGATATAATTCACACACCATACAATTCACCCATTTAAAGTCTACACTTCAGTGGTTTTCAGTCTCTTCACAGAGCTCTGCAACCACCATCACAATAAATTCTGGAACATTTTCACCACCCTACAAAGAAATCCCGTATCCTTTAGCATTCACTCCCTTCTCCGGCCTTGTTGCTGTTAGCTGCCGTCGAGTCAGTTCCTACTCACAGCGACCCTACAGAACAGAGTAGAACTGCCCCATAGGGTTTCCAAGGAGCGGCTGGTGGATTTGAACTGCCGACCTTTGGTTAGCAGCCAAGCTCTTAACAAATGAGCCACCAGGGCTCCTCCCAAGCCTTAGGTAACCACTAATCTGTTTTCTATCGCTAGAGATTTTCCTATTCTGGGCTTTCATGCTAATGGAATCATATAATATGTGGTCTTTTGTGACTGGCTTCTTTCACTTAGCCTAATGTTTTCAAGGTTCTTCCACATTGTAACATGCATATAGTACTTTTCTTTTTATGGCTGAATAATGTTCCATTGTATGAATAGACCACATTTTGTTTATCTAGCATCCGCAGATGGACATGTGGGCTGTTTCCACCTTTTGGTCATTAGGAATAATGCTTTGATAAACATTTGAATAATGCTTTTATGAACATGCACACATTTGAACATTTATGTACAAGTTTTTATGTGGATGTATGGATTGGGCGGTACTTTGGGGTCTGAACCCTCTGACATGCTCACAAAGGTTGTGTGTATATGTACTTTTCAAGCATGAAAGTGCAGTGTGTCCATCAGACCAAAAAAGAGGCCCTGCCCAGTTAATTAGCCCAAGTTCCTCATTGGCCCTTGAGCCCTACACAATACTGCCTGCCTTTTCACATGGGCCTTCAAGTCAGACACAGCTGGGACTGAGATACCTGTTATGGATTGAATTTTGTCCCCTCAAAATCTGTGTCAATTTGGCTAGGTCATGATCCCTAGTATTGTGTGACTGTCCACCATTTTGTCATCTGACGTGATTTTCCCTTGTGTTGTAAATCCTGCCTCTATGATGTTAATCAGGCAGGATTAGAGGCAGTTATCTTAATGAGGCAGGACTCAATCTACAAGATTAGGTTGTGTCTTGAGTCAATCTCTTTTGAGATATAAAAGAGAGAAGTGAGTAAAAAGACAGTGAGGACCTCATACCACCAGGAAAGCATCACTGGGAGCAGAGTGCATCCTTTGGACTGGGGGTTCCTGTGCTGAGAAGCTCCTAGACCAGGGGAAGATTGATGACAAGGACCTTCCCCCAGAGCTGACAGACAGAGAAAGCCCTCCCCTGGAGCTGGCACCCTGAATTCAGACTTCTAGCCTCCTAGACTGTGAGAGAATAAATTTCTGTTTGTTAAAGCCATCCACTTGTGGTAGTTCTGATATAGCAGAACTAGATGACTAAGACAATACCCACGTACCATGATCTACTTCTGCACCTCATACACGTTACTTAGGTCTTGAGCTTCCATTTACTCACCTGCAAACTGGAGGCAATGATCGGACATCCAACCACAACAGCCTTTTTCGATGATTAAGATGATAGTGTCGATAAAGCATTGAGCAGAACACCCGGCTAGTTACTCTTGGCTAAATATCTTTATGACCTGGCCAAGGTGAACCCCCTCTGACCTCCCAAAATGCCTCATGCTTCCACATCTGCACTTCTGCTTCTATTATTCTCCCACCTGAAATTCCTTCCCTGACAAAACTCCCTCTGGTAAAAGGCCATCCACCTTTCAGGTGTATTTCCAGCTAAGTCACTCAGCCCTTCTCAGAATTCCTGAAACAGGTTCTCCTTCTGCTCTGCATCTCTTAAGAGCTTTTCTCTCAAGGCTAAACTGACAGCACTCGGTACCACAATGGTTTGTGTTCAGGTTTTCTCATCTTCCCTGGCCTGTGTCCACAGCACACAGCAAAGCCCCACCACAACAAAAGGACTTTCCTCCCATCCGCTTTCCTCCCAGGTGCTCAACAACACAGGATTTGTGCACCCACCCATTCATCTGAAAAGATTTACACAGCAACCAGACCCCCGGAGGGGCAGGATGGTGAATAACCTTGGCACCTTATCTGCCCCCTACAAAGCTCACAACCCAGAGGGTTCAAAGCTTTGCTATCCATAGAATTTTCACTGGCTGAATTTTCGGAAGTAGATCACCCAGCCTTTCTTCCTAGTCTGTCTTAGTCTGGAAGCTCTGCTGAAACTTGTTCAGCAGCATAGCAACATGCAAACCACTGACAGACAGGTGGTGGCTATACATCAGGTGCATTAGCCAGGAACCAAACCTGGGTCTCCCGTATGGAAGGTGAGAATTCTACCACAGAACCACCAATGCCTCATACAAAGGGTCTGCGAAGGTTTTATCGAGAAGCAAATGCCAGTCTTGACCGATGAACGCATCATGGCCAGGGGGGCAGGGAGAGAGAAGGAAAGAGATGAAAAGAAGACACCAAGGGAGGGAGGGGGCAGAACGGGAGGAGGCGAAGGAATAAGAACATGCTTGTTAACTAAGTGGGCCCTGGTGGCGCAGTAGTTAAGTGTCCGGCTCCTCACCGAAAGGTCGGCAGTTTGAATCCACCAGCCACACCTTGCAAACCCTAAGGGGCAGTTCTACCCTGTCCTGTAGGGTTGCTATGAGTCGGAATCGAATCCACAGCCACGGGTTTGGTGTTTTGTTGTTGTTGTTAGCTAAGGCGGGGTGGGGAGACCCAGGAGGAGCTTTATTTTGATTTTAGGCCCTAGAGCAGAGGATTTCACTTTTGGGCCACTGGAAGGAAGTTGGCAGAAAAGATGGAAAGGCTGACAAAATGCAGGAGGAGAAAGTATGAGAGTAGAATCCTGGCCTGAAGGAAGAAGGTGGGGAGGGCAGTCGGAGCTCAGACTTCCTTCTAGAGGCCACTGGGCAGGAAGTGAGGGTGGAGACAGAGAGAAAAGTCTGACAGGAAGCGGAGGGAACAAAGGAGTTATACCTGATAGCAGTCAAGTTACACCTGACAGCAGGATGAAGCCCTCAGCTGAGGGGGTGGGGGAAAGAGTAAGGTGGCCTACGTAGAGAGGTGAGGTTACAAAGGCCAACTGGAGAAAGGGGAGAGAGACCGAGGACTTCTGGGCAAGGCCAAGGCCTACTGAGGCTGGAGACAGTGAGGACGTGGCCCTGATGAGGTACTAGAGCTGCCCTCTCGCTGTGCTCAGTTACCTGAGCAGAAAAACCATCATTCACTCAAGGGGGTTGCCGTCAAATGGGACAGGGGGTGGGACCTGCAAGCTGGTCACCGAACCCCCTAAGTTCTGCTACCACCTCGCTCCTGAGGAGTGGGTCGGATAACACAGAAAACCCTCCACACCCACAACCGTCACACAGCATCTCACTATCGGCCCTTTGGGATTCTCTCTCAGACACTAAAAAACCAGATGTTTGGGGCCTCAATTCAAACACTCTCCATGAAGACACGTACCTTGGTCCAGCCAGGAAACTGGATAAAGGTGTCCTGGGGCAAGTCTGGGATCCCAGCCGGAATGGAGAAGTTCCCCACATAAAAGGCTGGCAGTGTGAAGTTCGATGAGCTGTGAGGCTCTGGTTCAACATGGCAGCTGTTGCCATGGCCACCCCAGCCCCCCAGGTGGCCTCGCACTGCGTTCTCAGCGTTCAACGGGAAGATCAGCCAGTCCGTGAGGATACTGCAGCCGAGTGTCAGGTTAGAAATCAAACCCTACAAAGGAGAGACGGAGCACAGTGAGCTGGGGGTGGCAAGGAAAAGCACTTCAAGTGTCTCTGCATTCCAGCCCTAAAGTCCTGGGGAAAGCAAACTGGGATACACAACACCAACAGTGAATGAGACTCAAAATAACACATATCTGGCTTGAGGCTGAATCACACCTTCTTGGCTGGAGGTACATCGCCCAAACCACAGCCTTCTCTCTCCTTTGGCAGCCAGAATGCCCCACAAAGGACCCAGAGCTCTGCCCCTACATAAAGGCGATGAGTTACTATAGCTCTTTTTTTTTTTTTTGCCTTAAAATAGCGAGTTTTATTTATCTCATGATTCTGTGCTTTGGCACTCTGGGATGGGGATAGCTGGAGGTTCTGGTTTGGGCTGGGTGGTCAGTTGCCAGGTCTGTTAGGGGTTGGCTGATCAAAGGCGGGGCCTCGTGTCTCTCACCCTCCATCCAGTGGGCTGGCCTGGGCTTGCCCACAGGAAGATGGCAGCGTTCCAAGAGAGAGTGAGAGGAAGTGGGTAAAGCCTCTTGAGGCCCAGGCTTGGAAGGCACAAGGTCACCTCTCTTACGTTCTACTGACCCAAGCAAGTCGCTACACCTTCTGACTCCAAATCCCCTACTCTTCAGAGTTTGCTTGAGAGCCATGACTAGAATGGAAGAGAAGATGGAAGCAGAGGACTGGGAGAAGGGAGTGGGGGACGCAAGAGAACACCATCCCACTGCAGATGGGAGGACTGGGGGAAGGGAGTGGGGGATGCAAGAGAACACCATCTCACTGCAGATAGGAGGAACAGGAGAAGGGAGTGGGGGACGCAAGAGAACACCATCCCACTGCAGATGGGAGGAACGGGAGAAGGGAGTGGGGGATGCAAGAGAACATCATCCCACTGCAGATGGGAGGACTGGGGGAAGGGAGTGGGGGACAGAAGAGAACATCATCCCACTGCAGATGGGAGGACTGGGGG